GTATGTATGTATCTTGATGTAAGATGATGTGTGAATCTCGAGCACATTTACTCACATCCGTGTTCAATCCACTGTGCTCCAAAACTGAGTCCTTTCCCCTTTTCTCAAAACTGTCAAGCTATTAAATAGATCAGAGATATAAACAGAGATATAAATAAATAGTACAGCAAATATTGCTTACTGCCTTAAAAAATTAAAATATGTTATTTTTAAATTAAATGAAATTATATATATCTAGTAATAAATGTTCCTTTGTTTATTTTACGATGTGTCTTATGTTTCAACATTTATTTATTTATTTTTAAATATTTTCGCTCAATATATTGCAATTTTTTCAATGTAATGTACCCTTGCCCTCTAACTATATCTAGATGAATTGCTAGCTACTGCTATTGTTGTTCTGCTCAGTGGATCAGCCCACACACACAAATGTCTTTCACTCAAGTTCTTCGCTCACTTGACAAATTCATTTCAATATTTTCGTTACACTTGAGAGCAGCAGCCAGCAGCATCCAAAATTATCCAGCATCATCCAACAGCTACCATCCTGAGCACTTCACATGCATATAAATATATATATAGTATATTGTTCCTCAGCGTATTTATATTTTTTATTTATTTTTGTATTTTTGTTTTTTTCGTTAACTGGCCAATGGAGCCACTGTAGCCACTCAAAGCCCACTACAAATTCAGCAGACCAGGCCATGACTTAATTAAGAGTCGCACGTTTATTGTGCTTACCTGCGTAGTTTTTTTGTATTCGGTTTTTGTTTTTACAACTTTTTTCAGCTTTTGTTTTTGTTGAACTTACACTTTTTATTATTGTTATTATTTTTGTTGGTTATAGTTTTTTGTTTTTGTTGAAACGTCATCATAAATTGCAATTAATTTCAACCGTTGCCGGACGAAGTATATAATAAACATTTTTTATCTTTTTTTAAACCATTTTGTTGGCCTTTTTTATATTTTGATTGTGTTTAGCCTGTAGGTGTTTCATTAAACTTAACCTTGATTTTTAGCAGCGATCGTCTCGTCTCTCGTATATTAAATTATTTTCACACCTAAAAAACGCCAAACCACTTAAAATTATGCCAATCACGAGCTGCTTGCCATTGTTTTTTATTGTTTCAAGTGTACTTCATAGGCGAAGGCAACTGTATTGCTGCTACATCATGATCTAGTATTCACAGTAACATATATATATAAAGTTACTATTTATAGAAACGACTGAATCTTTTGATAACAAATTGATGAAAATTTACATATTCTGTCGTTTGTTTTACTGCCTAATATGTGGAGCCTTTCGGTAGATAATTCTTTTTTTTTTTTTAGATCAAAAGTGCCGAAATTTTTGGTTAGACGTCGCCTGTTATCAGTTTGGGGCCTCTGCGCTTGGCCGCATTGGAAAGCCATAAAAAATGTGTAAAAGGCGCGCGCGTAGTGCTTAATTTTTGCCTTTTACGATGCCAAACCAAATGTCAATTGATATGAAATTTTAGTTTTACAGCTGCAGCTCGCGTGTGAGTTAAGTCGCAGCTGAGGCCAAATGCAATTGGCTATTGTCATAAAAAACACTTTGTGAAAGAGTTTTGTGCGGTTTGCTCTGTGTTCACCGTAATGGTGGTTGTTCTTGTTGTTGTTGGACCTTTTTTATGCATCGTCGAGCAGAAAGTGTAGCAGTTATCTGTTACACGAACCGGCGTCTGACTACTCGAGGATACGCAGGAGACAATCGTGCTGCACTGAGAGAAAATTATAGGTTTAAATAACTAAACGTTAAGTTGTGGGTGCCTATTAAAGTCGAGCTATTAAATTAATGGCGTACTGATATTTATATTTGCATTGTAGTAATATTGAAGACACTTTGAAGCGAGCTACTCCAACGATTTCCCCACTTAGAGACACAAACATTATTTAATTAGAAAATTAAATACATTTTTAATTAAATACTTATACATTGTTTAAGTTAAACTTCTCTTTAAATACTTTTTCTCTAAAAGACTGTAACGATCTATACTTTTGCTCTACAAGCACCTTCGCAACACTGTCACGTTGAATACTTTTGCTTTATAAGCACTTATGCAGCACTGTAGCAATTAGCACGCGTATATATTAGAGTATCTCGGAATATCTCAAGAGCTCAACTCATTAGTTACCGACATTCCATTAAAAAAAAATAAAGAAAAAGAAACAAAACGAGCTTCCCAAGAAGCACTTTCAGCATAATTTGCATATCAGAATTAGTTAGTTCATTTCTACGTAGTACTCCTATCTATGGCCAAGTTTCTCGTGCAGTGTACGTGGCCATTACAATAACCACAACATAAAAATAAAAAAATATAACAAAAAACGAATGAAAAAAGTAAGTAAAATAAAGGATATGCCTTGGCTACTGGGCTGCCTTTAAAACTTTGTAGTTCTATTCCACGCCCCATTTTTATTATCGCCGGCTAAGTCGGCGCTCGACTTAAGGGACGGCACATAAAAACCAGCAACAGCAGCAACAACAACAACACGAAGAATTGTTAGCCTAGGCCATTAGACGAGAGGCTAGGGTAAGTGCAGTCGCCTATCTTGGCATGCCAAGGATAACAGAACAGGGCGCAGAGGGAGGGAGAGCCGCACTCTCTTCGAGTCTAGTGTAGAAAAAGGTGCTACCACTAAAAGTTGACCCAAATTTTATCATCAATGTGACAGAAAGTAGCGATTAGATGATGCCTTTTATGTGCAACTGGCTGCTGGCTGCTGGGAATAGGGTTCCTCTTCATTTTGCTTCCCATTTTTATTCAGTTGTCGCTCGTTTCTTATTTTTATTTTCATTTTTTTCTATGTGGTTTAGCCGACCAAAAGGTGCCACTGTGCGCGCGGTATATGTTCTACTGAATGGGTTTCCTATGAGCGTAAAGCGTCGCCTGATATCTTAATTTGCCGCATCTATCTTAGGGCAACCACTTGAGTGTCCAAGTCCAGACGCTACTCAAATTGTTGCAGCTGCACTTGTTTGAATTTCCATTGGGGCACATACCCACCAAACACGTATCCGGCCTCTGTTGCTGTCGAACGGTCGGCATCAGGCGCCGTCAGAGCAAATACGCGCATCCTGTTAGGCACTTGAGAACTGTATACCCAGTAAATGCAGTTGCCGGGGGTTTACACAACTGGAAAGTAAAAATATATATATATTCTTTTTTACCATTTGATCAGCCCTTTTACAAACAGTGTTGGAAATTGTTAAATAATATTTCAGTATGTTTTTTTTACTAATTTATTTAAAGCTTATCTTGTTTTTATACATGTTATATAGTTCGGATACTATCAATAAGGGCAGTTAGTTTAAAAACAGTGTTGAAAAACGTCAAAATTGTATTTCATTAAAGGCTTTCTTTAACTTTACTTCTTAAGGAAATTGACAGATTTTGCTTGCCTATTTATTTTAAGCATATCTCATTTATGTACACATGTTATATAGCTCAGCTGTTATTTAAAAACACTGTTAGTTAAAAGACAGTGTTGTAAAGTGCTAAATTGAAAGAAAAATCCATTCTAAACCCGATTTAATTAATCACTTCTTTTCCTTTTCTATTACAATATTCTTTGAGATAATAAACATGAAGTAGTTGAAGGCTTGCTTTGCAGGGTATAAATTAGTCGACTAGTACACATTTGTATTTCTGCTCTTTTCGGTAAATGATGCAGAAAATCGCAGCCTAGACAGCAGCTGAGGCATTTGATTTTTGTTTGTTATTCCATGTAGGTCGCTTCAACTATGCATGAAATGTCCAGGAGCCTATCGGAAGTTGATAGCATTTTCGGTCTTTTGGCCCTTTCGGGTAACTCTAGACGTTGCTTCCTTTGATCTCTCCACTGTGTCGCCTGGCTTGGTGGCCGCTGATAAAACGTTTGATAATCCAATTTTTTTTTATAAATGCAAATCTCAGCTGCCCATTTCGACCAAAGAAAGCCGCCCTACACAAAGGCGTTACATTTGCTCATTAATATTTATGATCGCCTAAAAGGCTGTCAGGTCTTGCAAATATAATTTGCTGGAGCCTTTTTACACAAAAAATAGCCACCCATATGGAACATGAATGGGACCTTATGAAATTATGAGACCACAGGAAGTGCTTAGAATTTATATCAATAATGCCGTTAGTCGTGGACACTCACTAGCTGCCTGGTTATTTATTTAAACCAACTTAACAAGCCGTCGCCATATTTTTAATCTTTCAACAAGTTTTCCATGCCTCACATTTTTCCTGTGTCCAATATTTTCCTGGGCCCCAAACGCATTTGACACGCAACTTGAACCTGGTGCCGCTTTCCTTTGCCGTTGCCGTAGCCGTAGCCGTTGCCTTCGTCTCGTGCACTTTGTGGGCCACCACAGAATCAACTGCTAACATGGCATAACTTATAGGCCAAGCATGCAAATTTGGTTTCTTGGCTCCGTTATGGTTCGCCTGTAGACTGTAGAGAGGGACGAGAGTCGTCCCTTGAAGTTTAAGGCAAAAGTTATTGGCACTTTGTCAAAGTAGGCAAATGTATATGATTTGAAGAGCGGTTTACACGTGCAGCTGAATGTTGTTTAACAGGTTTTAAGTGTACGAAGTTGAGCTGTTTTATGATTTTAAAATAATTATATTGTATATTATATTATATTAAATGGATTATAAGTGGTACAAAGGATGAAAAAACATCAAAATATTTAAATAAACAAATAATATGACATCAGCTGCTAAAAAGAGTTTCAATTTTATATGTAAATAAAATTTTTTTTGTTCCTGAATAACTTTAATATCGTATTTTTACTTTCAATAATTTATTATAAGACTTCTTTATTTATTATAAGACTCCTATTATTATTTTCATATATCTAATTTTTCGAAGTTAACATATTTTTTAATTTCTATGCCATCAAAATAAATTTATATAGATTTTAAAATAAATAAAATATTTATAAGAAATATATATACTAAATTATTAATGTAAATCATTTTTTTTAGGAAAAAGGGATTTTAAAAATAAGTTGAGCATTTAAAAAAATCACTGGGATCAAATTTCTCTGCTTGGTAAGTTAAAAATTAATTTTATAAATTAAAAAAATAAAAACAGAAAAGTTTCTTTTTTCTTTCTACATAATCAAAACATTAATTAAATGCTGAAAAATATTTACAAATTATATTGAAAATTTCTAACAATTTTTAAATTTATAATATTTTATTATCGACATCCCCAAATATCGCGAATTGCCTTGAGGCTTTTCATAGTAGCCATGCCATAAACGAAAGGACTTTAAGGGTCCTTAGCTATTTGCGTGTAAGGAGTGCATACTGTAATCGCAGTTACCCATTGCTCCAAATACTTCATACACATGTCTGGGCATTGGAGAACTGTTGCCGTATATCTGGCCATGTATACACACTCTCGGCCAAAACGATAATTGACCAGGCTAATTTACCTATTTAACTAGATTTGTAGCGCAGGCGGAACCCAAACATGCAAATCGAGCGCAAACAAGTGCGCACTCTATTTGCTAGGCCAAAATACTTGAAGCCAATTTTCGTAGAAAACACTTTCCCAAAAACAAAAAAAAAAACAGGAACAATATGAGCTAAGATGAAAGTAGTTTTTTGTCTTGACATTAGTGTTAAGTGCAGTTGGGCACGAAACCTAATTAATTGGGATGTGTTTGAACAAGAGTTGCACAATTATGAAGACTTCTGCTGCTTCTCTCCAAAGAAAGACAACCTAATCTGGCAGCGCTTGTCAATATTTGTTGGATTGTGCAATTGCAACTGTATTATTGTCATATAATTGGGTCTGTCTGAAAACAAGAGACAAAATCTTTTATCTAATCTGTGTGCCACTTAGAGGGCTACCGCAAAATGCGACTTGGCTGGTTTGTGTGTGGCAACTCTTAAATGTATGTTTGTGTAAGTGTGTGGCATGTGCAACAAAAATGCAAATTGCATTAATAAATGAGCAGCGGTTGAAGGGGAGCGGTGGCCATAATGGCTTTCTACTTCCTACTGTTTACTCCCGTATTTATTTAGTCCCCTGCCCGTCATTCAATTAGAAATAAAAACACAAAAACAAAAATTTCTGTTTTAATTTTGACTTTGCCTCCGTGCATAAAAGGCCAAAAGTAAAGCAACAACAAAAATATTTAGAAAGTAAAGAAAGAAGCAACAACAAGTACAATAAGAACAACAATGGGACGACATATGTAGCAAAGGTAATTGTCAAGTAGAGCAGAGATAGGCAGACAGACAGACGCAGACGCGGACGTGGCACGAACTGCCACCAAAAACCACCAGACCAACAACAGCCAGCCAAGAAAAACAAATACCGAATCCGAGTCAGAGTCAGATACAGAGTCAGAGTCTGGGCCTGGGTCTGAGTCTGAGGCAAAGGCAGATAGTTCGGGAGTTCGGGTAGCTACGGCTACTGCGCACACACATTAACCCATTGCAGCCCCCACCTACAAATGACACACAAAAATTGTAACACAAACAATGGAGCGAGCTTATCAAAAAGATGCGAATGGCAGATACTCTGACAAGAAAGTCTAAGGGCAGATCTAAAGCAGCTAAAGTCATATCTGTACCAGATAAGTGAACATGGAGGACGCGCTATAACAATGACTAATAAAACAGATTTTACTTTGTGACACGGTGCAATATAACTAAAAATGAAAGTTTGTAATGCGATTCGATATATGGAAATTGGGCTGAAGAGAATAATGGAGAGAACATGGAGAGAACACACTAATTGGAAAAGTGCGAGGATAAAAATATTCGTAATTTAGAAAACAATCAGTTGGAAGTCTGAAGAAGTAAAACTTCATATTAATTGGAAACTGTCCAACTAAAGATTTGACAATTAGTATTTGACAAAAAGAATTTCAATCAGACCAAAAATATTCACTTATGTTTAATGGGAAATAAGCAGTTGAAATATAGGCAATATCAAATTAAAAAGAATTCTAATTAAATAAATTAAAAGATAGATGGAATCAAATTAAAAATTATAATTAAAGCAAACATAATAATAGTAACATAATGTACATATATTTTTTAAGAAGCTCTATATTTAATTCTCATATGCCCGAAAAATGTAGTGTATAACAAGCAACAGTAGTAGTTGTTTCTTATGTGTACATATGTATGTTTGTGTGTGTATGTGTTTTCTGGTCTGGCATAGCTGCAAAACACTTTTGGTAACATTCTTGTGGTTTTTTCTTCTCAATAGACCCAAAAATATGCGCAACGGCGGCTGAGGTCTGTCTGTGGCCTGGGTCGTCCGGGGTTAGACATATGCGTGACAATTAATATAAGACTCGTCGCCGTGCGGCTGTGTTGTGTGTGTTGTCTGTTGTGTGTGTGTTGTCGCCGGGCAGAGGGTGGTCGGTGGGGGTGTGGGCATGGGGTCGCTGACATAGGTACACAAAACGGAACTGCAGACATTGCGCCTAAGACACGGCCGCTGCAAGCAGTTGGAGCTCGTGTTTGTCTAGTCTTTTCAACTGCAACAAACGCTCGACAGCAGCAACTTTGTCTCCGGTCGTGTCTTTGGTGGCATATGCGAGCCCAAGCGACAGCCATGTGGCGTCTAAGTGACAGCGGCAAGTCGCTGCTGTGACTCTGTGCGGGTGTGCGGCTAGGTGTGCGTGTGTGTGTGTGCGAGTGTGTGGATTGCTCCGGCTGAGCTGGACACGGCACCTGCCAGAGCTGAAACCAATTTGCGGGGCATAAAACAAACTGTACAACGGGGCAACCTGTGCCGCCGGCCAGCCGCCTGGACTCTGGCCCGGTCGCGTGTCGCTTATCAGGCTGCTTTATCAGCCCCGCCAGCCAAGAGTCCACTCCACTTCCAGGCCAGGCAAAAACTTCGTTAGCGTTTTGTGGCGTCTTGAGCTATTTGCTACTTGTTTTCATTTCTCGCTGTTGCACGGGGCCCTTGTGTTGCATTATTATTGTTTTTTCTTTGTATACCCTGTGCCCATTGAAAAATTGCTGAAATGGGTATATTCGTATGCAACAGGCGATCATCAAGCCTATAAAGTCAGTCAGTTCTTGATTAGCATCAATAGCTGCGTCGACTACAGATATCTTAAATGCTGGACTCACCAAATTTGTAATTCATTTTATTTAATTTTATTGGTAATTTGCTTTGATTTATTTTTGCCAAAATTTTGAGTTAATGATGCAAATCGACTTCACAACGAACAGACGAACAGAACCAAATCAGTTGCTTTACAATAAGAAGCCAAAACCCAGAACTGAACCCTATTTATTCATAAATGGCTTCTTATATTGTGGAAAGGACAATTATATATTTAAATTTAAAATGTTAAATTAAAGCTCTACAAATATTTGACACACCAAAGTATGCACCACTACTTGGGCTTATGAATGTAAATAAACCAAGATTACGAGCGGCAAGGACTTAGTTTAAACCTTAAATCGAACCACTGACAATTTTTTTTTTAATTTGTAGGTCGATCGATTTCTAATATTTAAGATTTTCTAGCTATACTTGGGACGTATGGCGGATTATGCAAAAGCAACTCGAAGCTAATTACAGGGTATTCTCTGGACGGGAGCATGCAAATAAGAACTAAAATACTTATGCTTGTTTTTGCTAGCCCGTTGCATATTTTAAGTCTGCGTTGCTGTTGTTTTCATTATACAGCGAAATATAAAGGTATATGTACATATATCCATTGGTAGCTAAGGTTTTGTATGCATGTGCGGATATTGTGAAAATGCATTTCCACTTAGATCCTAACTGATTGCGCCTTTGACAGGGCGTGGCATTGTGTGGACTTAAAAAGCCATTTTAGTTACGAATATGTGGGAACAGACCGGGTTTCACTTGAAAGGAATTGCCTACGTGTGGTGTGGGCAATGGATAAATACCAAAATGCGATATATGAAATATTTCAGAGAAAGGGTTTACCATGTTGTGAGCCGACTAGGGGAATGTTTACTTAAAGTTGGTTGCGTATGTGTCAAAGGAGAGTGTTAGGTATCCCTACCCTAATAGAATTGAAGGTTTAATTATATTCACATGTTTAAAATGCAGAGGAAAAAATGGAATAAGATAATATGGAAAGTTAGGTGAGTTTCGTTTCGCTTATGTTGGGTTAGGTTAAGTTTGATTAGGTTAAATAAGTAAGGTTCGGTTCGTTTACATTCTGTTAAGTTAGTCATAGTAGTTATGTAAGATAAGTAAGGTTGGGTTCGGTAGCGCTGGGTTACTTTAGATTTAGTTAAGTAAAGCAGGTCAGTTTACACGATAAGGGTCATCTCCACCGAGAGGCCTATTAAATAATTGTTTTGACTTTAGAAAAGGAAAAGCTGGCAGGGATTAGAACTTCTTTTTCAGGATCAGCAGTCACTTAAATGATGTTGATGCAGTGCAGTTGAACTTGGAGTAGGTATTGTGGATAATTTTGCCTTTGTAGTTGAAAAAATGGTGGATTAGAAGGGGGAACGGACACTTCCTGATATTGAACAGCTACGTAGTTTGTCAGTCTGCATAAATCTCTGCTTGACTTAATTTTAAAGATGCAAGCAACTCCCTTTCAGGCTTCAGCTATTTGCTTGGCTTGAATTGCTCTCAAAGGAGCAACTAAAAATCATTTGATCTTAAGTACTTTTATGCAGAAACAGCGGAAACGGTGCTTGAAACAGCGGAAACAATTCGGGAGGCACAATTTAAGCAACTCCATTATTCAAGTGGGATTTAAACACTTGCCTTCGGCATTTGATCTTTGGCAAATGCGTGAAATAGATACTTAAATGCAGGGCCAGGACAGCTGCAGGATATGTGTGGATGCATTCTTATTTTCGAAGAGCTCCACATAAAATAACTCAATTTGTGGCAACAAATTGACAGAAATATGAGCCACAACAAGAAGAGGCCCAGTTGAGAGACCTAAAAACTCATTGAAAGTCATAAATTTGTCATCGATTGCATGTGAAATTCGAGTCCGCAGTCTGAGCCGCAGCGCTGTCAGCTGCAGCATCTGATCTGCCTCTGAGAGAGAGATAGAGACTGTGTG